ATACTATATATATATATATATATATATATACTACCTTATTTGTCTACGTCTACCAACATAGTGTAGAAGTAAATCGACCAAAGTCAGAGTGAATGCTTGACAAAACAATAACCAGATTTGAAACCTGAATTTTTATTGGTTGATGAATAAGTTTGCAGAAAGAGAAGCAGGATTTCACAACCATGTGCACAATAAGCTCTTTGTACACCTATACAGTATACTGCTAAATTTCTAACATTTCAGAAGAATTACCAATATTCCAAGAATTGCTATGTTTATTGTATCGGTACCGAACCATATAATAAACATTTTGACAGATTCAAAGTGCAGTCTTATTGCTCTGGAAAATACTTGTAAAACACTTTAGAACACGTGCATAAGCCGATATATTTGACAAACGTTTCCACAGATTCTAATTGCAGTGTGATTACTAATGTTAAATTTCCTAGTAAACACTGTAAGACATATAATCCAATACATTACACATCCTGTTCTTGGAGCAGGGGTCAAGTTGGCTATCTCTTCATGCGTGCTTTGTTACTTTTGAAGGTATCGTATTACGGTGTCACGTATACAGTCCACTGACACAATCAGCGATTTATTGCTTCATTTTCAGCGGATTTCTACTTCAGTTGTAGACAGTAAAATACACATAAAAGATAAAAGTGAAATGCTTAGCAGTTGAAACTCTCAAGACATCTACTTTAAAATCTTGTGAACAATAATCAAGAAAACAGGGCAAAGCTGCTCATTTTATTTCTGATTTTACAATTTTTTTTTTACATTATACTTTGATTTGTCTACTGGCTGAAGAATAGGTAGGGAAGAGGTAATAACAGATGAAATATAAAGTTTTACTATAAAAAAAAGTTTCATATTTGCTAAGGAGGTTTTAGTGATTATGAAAATTAATGTTGATATATTTGAAACAATGCAGTTTTTTAATCTTTACATAAAAATCACTTTTTGGAGTAGTAAAAAAATATTTGATTCATTAAAATAACAGATTTTTTTTTTTGTACAAGCTAAATGTAATGTTTACTAAAAGTCTGTCAAATTTTGTGAAAGTACACATACTGTATTAAAAGTTATAATATATAAGTAAAAATGGTCACTTGGTCAAACCCTGGGACTGAGCCTGTGTTGAAAGAGTTAATAGTGTCCACTGTATTCAAAGTATCTGATTCGACTATCTGGATGTCTAGATACTCCAGAAGAACTTCATTAGAAATGTGTTCAGATTACCAAGGTATCACTATATTAGGAAAAATAAGAACGTTTGCTTACAGTTGTGAAAATTTAAATACAAGATATTGTTTTATTCTTGTACAAATAGTTATTTATGAAATGTTTTAATCCATAAGAGGATGGGATTAGTGACTATAAAGTTATGATTTAGTTTCAGCAGAGTGACTTGGCAAAGACATTATAGAACTTTGTAGGATGAAATTGAATATTTTACTGAATAATTATGAAAAATTATTTTAGGATTTTCTTAAAAAGAAAAGAATATTTTGCTAAATAAAAACCCTATTATTAGGTCGTCAAGAAATTAATATTGCTTCTTTTTTTTTTTTTAAATGAAAAACCCCTAACAAAATCAAAACAAAACATTTATTAAATGAAATAGTCTTCATTCTTTTGATGATGCTTTTCCATCTTACAATCAGGTTGTGTTAGTGCCCTGATTAAAGAAATCACTTGGCTTTGAAGCAAAAACATTGTCGATATCCTCTTTAAAATCTTCCACATTTGCATACATTTTCCCCATTAAGATGGTGTTGCAGCAAATGTAAAAGA